TTGTATCACAGCTGTGGTCTCCCTCGGGGGCAATTTCCCTGCACTAATTCTCCATACAGGAGAGCTTTTGGAATTTGATTATCAGCCATTCTCACCACATGCCCAAGCCAACGTACACATTGCTGTTTCAGTAATATATACAGTGGTGCCTCGCTAGACGATGATAATCCGTTCCACTGAAATCGCTGTTTAGCGAAATCATTGTCTAGCGAAAAGCATTTCCCCATTGGAACGCACTGAAACCTGTTTAATGTGTTCCAATGGGGAAGAATCGTCGTTGTCTAGCAAAGATCGGCCATAGGAAAGGCGCTTTGCGAACCACCGATCAGCTGTTTAAATCGCTGTCTTGCGAAGCTTCGGTCCCGAAAACACCTGTTTTGCGAGCGCGAAGGAAGCTGTCAAAATTGTCGTCTAATGAAAATTGGTTTGCAAAGCAGGGACCAAACACTGTCCAGCGAAATTCCCCCATAGGAATCACTGTTTTGCGAATCGCTATAGCGATCGCAAAAAGTCAATGTCTAGCGAAAAAACTGTCATGCGGGGTAACACTCTAGCGAGGCACCACTGTATATGCTAAAAATTCCAGCTCATTTGAACTTTGTCCAAATAGAGTGGGAATATATACAGTATATAAGGATGATCCACGACAGGGAGTAAGTACAAGTCCAATTCAGGGTGCCTAAGGGGAAGCTAATAGGTACAAATATAAACCAGCCCCACAAAGGAGACGAAGGAATAGAGGAAAGATGGTAGTTCAGTGCCCTCCATGACTTAGACACTGGTGGAAAAAGAAATTTGTGCCCACTGACCTTGAGAAAAAGAGAGCCTGAGACATGTGAGGGGAAATGTTACCATACCTGTCCCCAGTATGGGCACATTGACCCTTGCTCTGGGGAGAGTCAGTGAAGGAGAAGAAACATGATCTCTAAACTGAGCATATTGACCAGGATAGGGACTTCGCAAGTGGAACTGAGTTATCCAAGTAAACTGAGGCCATCCCATGGAACAGAATCAGAGAACAGCTACATAATAGAGAAAGAATGGGACCAGTGCCCGGAACAGGGACTAGAGACTGTGCTTGTAATGGTTTGCTTTCTTCTCCCTCCTTCCCAGTGTCAATAAATCCTGTTCAGTTTTATTCTGGGCTACTGGGGCTCACAGTTCCACATCCCAGTGGCATCCCAAGACATAGTAACCTAAAGAACCTATAAAGAAACACTCTGAGAAATCTGTGGTCTTGTAAATGATTCTAAATTATTACTGTGACATCTTGGCAGTGACTACTCATTGACATAATGGATGACTGAACACAGTATGCAGGCCTCATACAAGGCAGATCCATGCAAATGGTGGAATTAAGGTTCTAATCTTAGAACAATTCATAGGATGGCACTGAAAGTCTGAAACCAGTTCTTAAGTATTCTGTCCCCTAAGTTCTATTACATTCTACAACATGCTAATTGCACAATGCTGGATCTTGCCACTTTTAATTTGCTCATGACTTTTGGCTCTCTCAAGTCCAAAAGAAGAACTGCAAGATCTCTCCCGGGAGAGACTCACATAGCACCAGTACGGCATGAGACGAAAGCCATTGGCTTGCCCAGTGTCCATTGCATTGATCGTTTAAATGGAATGGGGGTGAATATAAAGTGGTGTCATAGCCAAAGGCCCCCCTGACAACCAACACTCCTGATGGCATCAGCAGGCAACCTCTGGGTGACATTTTCTTAGCCTTGTACTACCGCAGGTCACAAAGTATAAATACCTTCAAAACGTTTGTGGCTATCATAGTCCTCCGAGCACGGTATCTCAATGAACTTGTCTGACACGACCTCACTGTAACGGGCCAATACTTCTGTAACTCCATCTTCACTGAGCAAATAACTTCCACTCAGGAGGTAAGCCAGCATGGCAGATGAGAGAAAAAATGCCACTTTCAGCCACTTCCGCCGAGAATCTTTTGGAACGCCACTTTTTGTAACACTGAAAAAAAATAAAATTCACTTGTAAGAGAACAAACACTACATTGCATTTTAATATTGAGGTATCACTTAGCAAGCTAAACCTAGTTTAATCCTGACCTAAAGATATGGAAGCTTTGTTGTTATGTGCCATCAATCCATTTCTTATTTATAGTAACTCTGTGAATGAGTAAATCCCCAAAAGGTCCTGTCTATAACTCAGGTCTCACTAACTCAAGGCTGTAACTTCCTTTATTAGTCAGTCTTTCCCCCTATTTCTTCCTCTCTTCCTGCTGTGTTCAACTTTTACATGCATTATTAACTTTCACAGGAAGTCTTGTCTTCTCACGATGCGCCCAAAGTACACCAGCCTCAGTTTTGATATATGTGCTTCTAAGGAGAATTCAGGCTTAATTTGATATAGCACCCACCTATTGATCTTTTTTGCCGTAGATTATATCCATAAAGCTCTCGTCCTACAGGTATAACACCTGTCTACACATTATTTCAGGTCAATTTCCTATGACTGTATTTATGTATCCTGTGGTGTTTATTTTGCATGAGGCAAAACCATAGGAACTCTAGTACAACCTTATTTAATGACCCGGTTTCTCCAGTTCCCAGACCTCATTCACAGGACTGGATAAATTCATCACTCAGTCTCAACTGTGATCAAAACAGTCTCAGACTGTTAAATGATTAATTCTTGACAAAATCACTCTTCATAAATAAGGCATGATTTACTATAAATATCTGTTCCCCAGAATTCCATAGAGATTTTGAACACCTGCGCTCCACCTCCACTTGTTCTAAGCTACACAGACAGCTATGGATGTATTAACAGCCTTTGTCTTGCCCTTTCTCCAAAGAACACTTCTACTCTTGCAACTGTCTTTGCAATAATTTAGGTCAAGTGTACAGGATTAGTCTAAGATCACCCAGCAGGGCTGAAGCTAGATTTCTCCTGCTCTAAATTCAAGGCTCCTGTTGCTACCTTGCAATGAGGAATACTAAACAGAAGCCATTAATCTGGAGCTGGGAGGAAGGAAAAACACAACCCTTAAGAAATATAAAGAGGCCATAGTGGCAAGCTTGCTACAGATATTCCAAGACCAAGAAAGTAACATTTTCATGTGTGTGCATCTATCCATATGCACATACCTGAAACACACTTAAGAGAACTATTGTAAAAAGTCTCATACAAAAATCTTGCATGGGTATTCACCCATTTTGCTCCACTAGCGCTTTATTCTTTCCATAGTAGTCTATATAATACAGTATTCGATATAGTATTCGATATAGTGTAGTACTGTATTCTATAGTACAGTATTGTGCTCATAGCTTTCTAGACGGGGCAGGTCACTGGAGATGGAACTGTCCAGGAACTGATCCTCAACAGCTCCTTAAAGACGGGGCCCGGGGGGGGGGGGGGGGGGGGGGAAAATGAAAACCTTGTTTCTTTTCCGTCCTCTCCAACTTGTGTTTCCGATCCCGGGCAAAATAGTAAACCAAAACTATAAAGCTGTCTGTGTCTACTCGGAACCAAGTCCCACCGAGTTCCGCAGGGACACTCTCCGCCGAACCAGCGGCGCGGGCAATCGCACACGCGTAACCAAGCCAGAAGGAAAGGATGAAGAGCTTGCCCTGCCGTTATACGAAGAGGGAACGGCCACTGCAAACACCGGCCTCCTGCTCGTGGGAACACGGAAAAAAAAGAGAACAAGGGCAGGAAACACGTGCAATTCATCCCCCCCTGACCCTTCCTTTGCGTGCCACTTAAAAACAAGCTCTTGAATCCCGAAGTGAGATTTCAATCGGCTCGCAAATTCGGAGCCACGGAGTCCGCTACCACCACCACCACCACCACCCCGCCTTCCTGCGCTGGAGAAGAAAGCCCGCCTCGACTGCCTCCCCCTTCAGGGAAGCTGTACCTGCTGGGGCGGCGGCGGCGGCGGCGGCGCTGCTGCTGAGCCTCAGCTCCAGCCCCAACCCCAGCTCCACTCTCCGGCATTCTGGCACCCGCTCGCCTCCGCTCCAGCCCCAGCTCCAGCCCCAGCACTCTCCGGCATTCTGGCACCCGCTCGCCGCTGCGGAGCCATGGCGTTCGTTCAGCGAGAGAACCTGGGTTCGATGCTTTCGGGCATCCACTACACGCCCCTTCGAGGGTAGGGAGACGAGGCCGGGCCCGATAGGCATTCCCTTTGATCGAAGCGGAAGCGGCTGCGGAGAGACGCTCAGGCAAGCGGCGCGGAGCTCGGAAAGCGCGAGCCCCGGGACGAGAGGGACAGGCCAGCTCAATCGAGCCTAGAGGCGGAAAGGAACTCTCGTGGAAAGTGGACTCGGGAAGGAAACGGTGTGGTTTATCCAGAAGGCGGATAAACGCGTGTCGCGAAGGGAGACGACAGGTGGGAAATCTTAAAATGATAAAAATAAAAATAAAATGGAATCGGAAAGTTGCACCCGTGCATGCATGGAGGGAGGAAACGAAGATATAGAGGCATGAGCAGTGCATTCCAGAAGCAATGCAGGATTGTAATTGTAATTTATTACGACTCGTTGCTCCAAATCTGAATCTGATCGTTCTGAATATCTGTAATAATAATACCTAACATTTCGAGGCCCATTTAGACAGCAAAAGGCTGGTTTTCTGCTTGCTAGAGGAAGAAGTGAAAGCGAAACCTATTTCTCAGCTATCTTGGATTGATGGGGGGGTGAGTTAAAGACACTGGTAGTGGGGGCAGAGAACTCGGTGGCTTCCTGTTGGAGGTTGCCATGGGTTTGCTAGGGGGGGGCTGTGGTGAGAGCAAAACCTGTAAATGATGCCTGTCCAGTGAAATCTGGAAGTAGGCACAGACACCAGAAGGTATTTGGCCACATTGGTTCTTTCCAGTTGAAAGGTGGGCAGAGCATCTGTTTTTAGAATGCACACGTGGGCAAGTGGGCACTGTGGTGGTTTTCTCTGTATCATTTTCTGAACCCTCCACTTACATTCACATTCTCTACATCTCATTGTATATTGTTTATTTCGTATCATTTGGAATAAGATTTAGGATCAATAGATTAATTGTTTATTATGTTATAAATCAACAGGGAAATATTACTTAGCTTTGGGCCCTTTTGGGGTATATTAGGCAAGGAGAATAAGAATTTGTGGTATATAGACAGATATACTGTACTAAATTAATAGATTTTCTCTCTGTGTGTGATTTTCACTGGAAGGGTTTGTCTTTTATTGAAGCAGAAGCAGATAGTGTAGACAATCTGCTGTTGCAGTAGACGTACTTAAAGGCTCTTTCAGCCCTGTAGTTTTAAAACTACAGTCAGGCTTGAATTTAACTTCCATTGAAATCAGTGGAACTTGCTTTAAGTATATCTGTTATGGATCAAGTTGGAAGGCTGAAAACATGCCTCTTGTTTTCCAGTTCCATGCTGATTCTCTCAGTTGCTTCCAGAAGATGAGCCAGATCATGCATACTCCTTCATACTCTAACCAGTAATTTTATATTCTATGATTACAGTACTGTACTGTGTTTCATGGTGAGCATGCAACTGATGGGAAACCTCTGTAATTATGTAGTGTCTATGATGAGGAGAGCAAAATCTGTTTCTCTTATGAGGGGTAACTGAAATTGGTCACATGAAGCAACATGTGACCAATTTTACAATTTTTAAAAGTTAACAATTATGCCAAGTTACTGTAGAGCTGCCCTGTATGCCATATAAATGTGGTCTTATTTCTAAGTGAGCAAAGGTAATATCAGGGTATAAGTCAACAGTTCTATGTACTTCTATTGAAATGTAGTCCCTGGAACCAATGCTTAGGGTAAATGTACAGAACTGTATAGAAACTGATCTCTTATGAAGCCCCGTTTACTGACCTGCAGCAGTGGGCAACTTAGAGCCCTCCAAAGATGGTTAGGTTGCAAATCTCATCATCCCTCATCATGGGTTAAGTTGACTAGGGTTGATGGGAGTACCATCCGAACAGCCACAAGTTGCCCATTCGTATGCAAGAGAGAGCAGGTAGGTGAGCAGAGGATGGACATTAAAGGTCACTTATAATGCCCTTATCTGCTAAAGTATCAGTTTACTTCACGAGAATTTAGATAGGAAGTGGTCACTCAGGTCAGCTAAAAATTGCCAGAATCCTATTGGTATTCACATAAGGTTAATATAACCTGAACCATTGACATAGTTTAAGGTGTGTACAATTAAGTTCTTTTGAGGAAAGAAGCAATACACATGTAACAAATACATTATATCCTGAACAGTAGCATCATGATTTTTTCCTCCACACACTTCTCCATGGAACAGAAAAATAACATTTTTAGTATGATTTGTATAAGAAAAAATTAATACTAGCCCTTTACTATTCATAATATGTGAAGATAATAAGGACTCAAATTGAAGCTTTTCTATCTATCTGTCTGTCTGTCTGTCTGTCTGTCTGTCTGTCTGGACTCAAATTGAAGCTTTTCAATTTATTTATTTATTTATTTATTTATTTATTTATTTATTTATTTATTTATTTATTTATTTATTTATTGTCATTGTAAGTATGTACACAGTATGAAAAAATTTGATTACAATGTGTTGCCTGGCTTGTTTTGATAATTGTACTGTGTACTGTGTACGATATCTGGAAGCACAAAGACAGACTTAATTGCTGTTTGTGTTAAGCTTCCTTCTTTTAAAAATCCATTCTACATAGTTATCTGGGGAAATGGGACTGTTAATAATTTTTCCTGTTTCCTTCTAGGTATATTAATTGATTTTGCTCCTTGCAGTACTGGAAGGAATATGGAGGAAAACAGTTTGATGATTTCTTCTCCATTTGAACTGCACCTGATACATCTGGATCTCAAGGGAGCTCCCCCAAAGGTTTCATACCTGGCAGAGGTAACACACTGTTAGTTTGTGTATTCATGGAGTTGAAGCTTTACTCTTGTAGATTGGTTTGCTTTAGCTGCATCTGGAAAGTTTGAGTTTTTGTGCATTTTGGTTGGTAGTCTCATTGACATCTTAAAGGTAGTTGGTTCATAGAAAAACAAGTTCCACTTCGCTCTTGCACTCACAGTATGAAGATAGTCAGTTGTTTCAACCTAAACTTATTTTTTTTCAGTAATTAAGATGCACTACTTCTTAATAGTTCCTCCTGTGTTCCCACTTTATGTGGAGTTCTAAAAGACAAGAACATGCTGTGAAACTAGCCACTCACTTTCCTCTGCCAAGATTAAGGTGTGGATTCACAAATGTTGTCCTATGTCTCTTATCACTGTTTGCTTCATTGTGTTCTATTATGTTTTATATTATCTGGAATTAGTGCATCTACGTTGGCCAGAATGTCTTATACAATATCATATGATCTTTACTCACAACCATTCCAAAATGGGCAGATGGCAATTCCAAGGTCCAAAGTACTAATTATATTATGTTGTGTGAATAGACAACATTGTTCCTGGAACTATGGAACTGTGAAATTATAGAGTAGTAGTCATAAAACTGATTTGAAGATTCACTACAGTGCTGATAAAGACTTCTTGATCTGTTGAAGTGAATTCTTCACCCTATAAAGTTCAGTTCCATTCAAGGAAGAGTTATTTTGTAAACTTATTTCAGTAGCTCTGAAGAAATCCCAGGATGCAATTTGCTGTGTACATAAAAGAGAACACTTTCTGCTGCTTGGTGGTACTGCTGTAATGAGCAAAATTCATAAATGAACAGAACACTGCAGAGGAAATTCTGAAAGACAAATGGAGGTTGTATTCACAGTGGACTGGGCTTTAGTGTACATATGCTCAAGTAACTGTACTTCCTGGAAGGAAAAAGGTTTCTAATTTTCCCATTCAAAGTGCTTTGTAGCCTTAGCATTCACATAGGCTTTTTGTTTCTTTCAGGTAAGCTAATATGGCTTACAGTGTTAGAAGAAAAAAGTAAAATCATGATGATGGGCCAACAGAAAATCCAGTAAATCCAGTAAAATCAATCAAAATGATCCAGAACCTAACTGTACATTTCCAGAAGCCTTCCCTGCCTCTATGCAGCTTCCTGGAATAATATTCAAAAAGCTTTCAGCTGTTCAGTCCATCAGCACCAAAGGCTTTGGAGACGGAATGTTTCACAAAAAGAGAAGAACACTCAGAAAAGCTTCCTTCCACGCCCATTCCAATTTTGCAGGCAGAGAACTGAAATGGTTACACCTTTCAGGATGTATCTGGACTGGCCTTTCCTAGAATGTTAAAATTAGTGATTCCATGCTGTCGAGACTGTCATGTGAAACATTTTGTGCAACCAACAGATCTTCCCTTTGTTCCATGCCCTGGGCGCAAATGGTGTTCTCCTGGAGTATGAAGATATGTTCCCTTATGATGGGGAGCTGATGCCACTCCGTGCAAGTGATGCATACAGGTAACTTATACATTGAGATCTTCAAATCACAATCAGGTAGTCTTTTCAGGTTAGTAGAATTTGAGATTTGGCCTCTAGTTACCTGCTTTTGTTTTTGTTAAAAACTCGAATTGCCCACAGATGTAACTTCCTGTAGAAGGTCATAGGAATTTTCTGCCATGAGGCAAGCTATTGAAAATTCTGTACACACACACACACACACACACACAACTCTGAACCTAGTGCAGATTTCCTTTTTTACTCTTTTGCACTGGCACGCTTTAGGCAACCACATGCAGTATGCGTATGGTTAATATTTTGTTTGGGGTCTATTTTTAAAAAATGTATTGAATGTTTTGATCAGATGTACTGTATGTTTGGACATGGCATGCAAAGTATATACTCTGCATGCCATGTCTGTAGCAATGAATATCTTGCCAAATGAAATTGTCTAATAGAGATTGGTCAACCAGTACTAATTTTTGTATTGTACATGTGCACACACATATCACAGTGTATAGAGTTCCAGCCAAAAATCCTTGTGTTGAAATGTACTATTGATGATTCATCTCTCTCTCTCTCTCTCTCTCTCTCTCTCTCCCTAGTCCCTCTGAGATTAAAGAAATTTTAAAACTGGCAAAGTTGCATGAGTTAGAGATCATTCCTTTGATTCAGACTTTTGGACACATGGAGGTAAGTGTTATGATTGCGAACATTTGTTTTCCCAAGGGAAGGGAATGTGAAGTTCTTGCTGCCTGTAGTGTTTGCAGAAATGAGAAGAATGATCTACCAAATTTCTAACAACATGGTTTCCTCATGTACCTCCTCTGTTAAAAGCACTAAGCCATGTTCTTAACAGAGCTGTAAACTTCCAGCTGTGGAATGTAGTAAAACCAATAGACCACTTGAAGAAGTAGTAGAAAGTAATTTTTTTACAAAAATGGAAATAAAAAAGCACAACATTTGCAACCAGATTTAAAACTATTCAAAGTGCCATTACTGGAAAGCTCCTTTAATGTCACACTTGATAAATACTACTCTTCAGTTTTGTCTGCCTGTGTCTTCCCACCCCACACTCCAGCAATCTGCCTGACCTTCCCAAAAACACCCCCCTGTACTTTAGTTATACAGGGTAATTATTTTTCTCTTTCCAGATTCTGGGAAAGTTACTTTTTAAACACAACATGCTTACAGTCTCCCAGCCAGTCAGCACTGACAGTAGTTATCGTGTGAGAACTAAATTCGTTTCTAAGCTCTGTTTTTATCCCATTACAACAAGGGCCAGATATTTGGAGGCAAAGCCACACTAAAACCATCATACGTTTAAGAAAACTATCTTGGTGAATTTCTTTCCTATGGCAGTGGTCACCAGGTTTAACACTTAAGACTGCTGGATTTTGCTCTGTACTACTAGCCAAGCAGACTTCATTGCTCACCCTGTTTGCTGTTGCTTTTCCCGCAGTTTGTCCTGAAGCACAAAGAATTCTCTCACTTACGGGAAGTGGCCATGTTCCCTAACACTGTGAATCCCCATAAAGAGGAATCCCTCAGACTGATCAGTGCCATGATAGAACAAGTGGTAGCACTGCACAGTGACATCCGATGGTTTCACGTTGGCTGTGACGAGGTATGGTGTGGAACCGAGGGCTGAAATTCTTTCCATTCTACCTATGAGATGGTACTTTCCAAGAACCTTTGCACTGTATGATGGTCTAGTTAACCACCAATTGCTGCATTATCTTCTTATGTACCAAGATGGTACTTTCCAAGAACTTTTGCACTGTATGATGTAGTTAACTACCAATTGCTGCATTATCTTCTTATGTACCACCCTTATCTTTTAAGTTCTTTTCAGATCCTTGGAATGCCCATTTCTATAATCACAAAACACACTATTCATGCAGTATTCTGTTACAGATTATCATGATGATAGACACTGAAGTGTTCAGTTTTAATCTTATATAGCCATTTTAAACATGCATTTTTTTATTTTATTATGTTTCAGGCCATTGTGCCTCTGCACAGTGAACATCATTTTTAGCTGTTGCTATCCCAGAACTTTTCTGCTAGCCTGATTGCAGGAAATAGCTTTAAGATTAGGAAAGGAAAAGTACAAAATTTTCTTGTACTTCCCTCAGTCCTTGTGGATTTCTTTGAGAAGAGCAAATGGGGTGCAGCCATTAATTCCTTATCAGATTCTACCCATCTTTTCTTCTCCACTTTGTGAATTATTTGATGTCATCATTTATTTTTTACTAGCAATAGAATGTAATTTGGCTGTTTTAAATCTTAAACAGGCAATAAAATGGGTCATGTCAGCAAAATTCAGATCCAGACCTGTATCTTGCCTTTTATTAGGCCCTGTTAAACTTTGCTAAGCATTCCTGTAACTGTCAACTCTTAACCCATGAGTTATGAACATATACTAGCAGGCAAAATATTTACCCTGTGCGTACAATGGGGAAAAATGCTGAGAAGGTTGTGTTTATGGCCCTGTAGCCAAAATTGAATCCTGTGCTTCTTGGGGCAGGGGGGGCAGGGCACCAAAGAGATTGAAATGGCTGCCGTGCAGCAAAGCAGTGATGGCCTTGACGGGCATCATTGTTCCTTTATGCTTGTTTCAGCTCAAAGAGGTATTTTACAGAAGGCTAGCTAGAAATGGGTTGACAGAGAAGGAGTCCAATTTCTACTTTGCTCCCCCATCCCTTAATTTCCAAACATCAACCATTTATTTCTCTCAACCCAATATCCCACTTTAGTTAGCTATATGTCACAGGGGCTATAGAAACACAGTTGAAAGTAGTCCCCCTTGTGGTGACTGGCCCCCCGTTCAGCTTGTGGTGTTTAGAAAGATGGGTTTACTCAAAGAGGTGCAAAATGTATGGCTTTAGGATTAGACACAAAACTTCCACCAGCAGGAACGTCCTTTGGCTGACTGATCTTGGAGATCCACCAACAGGGCAGTCTTCTGGCAGGACTGCTTTACTGGCTAAGACCTGCTTGTGAAAGAGCCCCCCCCCCCAAATAAAAACCCAAAAGATATGTAGCAAAGAAAGAACGGAATTATGTCTGATTGACAGCTCTCCCAGTCGAGGGCTACAATGTCAGCAAAAATTAGGCCACGGTAATGACAGTCTCTTCCAACATCTTTAAACTGGGAGAGATTTGGATCAAGCACCGTTTCAGTGTGCTGAATATCAGTGTAGTTGGCCCTTGCCCTTTTTGGCATGTTAGGGTTGTGCTGTTAGTCTCCAGAGTTCGGGGCATCCCATTATGTCCATACCCCCATCGTTCTTTTAGAGATTCCCAGCAGGATGAGTAAACCCACAGGGAAAAGCAGTTTACCTCCACAAGTCCATGGCAACTGTAACATGTGCTTCAGCCTAAAATATCAAACATCGAGGATCGACCAGAAGTCTCCTCTTGGGAGCACTACCATTATTTCTTCCCTGTGTCTTATTGCAAGCAGGATGTTGGTGGTGGCAATGGTATGTGCAATGGAAGTAAATAAGGTTTGTCTGGGTTGGCATCTCCAGGTGTATTACCTTGGTGAAGGAGAGGAATCCAAGCAGTGGCTGCAGGAAGGAGGAAATACCATTGAAAAGCTGTGCCTTGCCCACATGAAAGCAGTGGCCGGCCACCTGGTCTCGGCTCACCCTGGCATTAAGCCTGTGGTGTGGGATGATATGCTGAGGGGAATGAGTGAAGAAACACTGAGAGGTAGGTGGTTACTAGAATGAGGTTGCAAGCATACCTTTGGAAAATTTAGTAGAATTATTCATTTCTAGCAAGTCAGAACCCATTGCAACTTCATAAGTAGCTAGTTGTTCCTATTTATTTAAAAGAACTAAATATTTCAAATGCTATAAAAGCGAGATTTATCACCATTTAAAAAAACCTAACATTTTAAATGGAAGAGGTCATTTGTTTCAGTCCCCTCAGCCAATATGCCTACCTGAAATATATTATGTTATTGGAGATTTGGAGTGACACTGAAAAAAAGTGAGATCATTAACAAACTGGTCGAAAATGCTGATTAAAAAAAATTGCACCAAGCCAAATCATTAACCCATTTTAACTGTGGAGTTTAGGGGAAACTAAAATACAAATAAAAACAAAAAAAGCACCCCCCTATGCATACCCAGATTTCAAGCATGTTAATAGTTCTAACCAGTCATGAACAGAGAAAGTAATAAGAGCAGCAAAACATTTGTTTTCAATACTGCAATATAACAAATGCCTCTATTTAAAATGTCAGAGAAGAGTTGGAAAATTTAGAATCCATGTGTAGGGAAGCCTCAAGACATTCATCTGAATAATATCTAGAGTCATCAACAGTTCACTTTTGTGCTGAATGCCAGAATAATTAATGTGAATGACTCCATATGGAACTACGGGGTTGGTCAAGTAGATTTCTTTCACTGTTAGTCATGCAGGGACATGACTAATTCTGGATCTCTCCTATCATGGATGCCCTGTTCTCAAATGATAAGTGTTTGGATTTGTTCATATAAATCAACGCAGGTACAACAGAGCACCGCAGTCACTAACATCTCTCCTTTCCAGGTTCTGGAATAGCAGAACTTGTTGAGCTGATGCTCTGGGACTACTCTCCTGACCTTGATGTGGACAGTAAAGGTTTGTATTTCTTTGTGGCTTTGAAAGAGAGTCCATTTCGGAACCAGCAGAAGAGAAGAAAGAATGAGAAGGGGGGTGGGGGAGCGTTCCCTCCATCCGCTTCCTTGGCAAAGTTGCATTTCCACTAAGACAAACAGTGTGCCTAAAATACGAAGTAACTCTTGTTACTCAAATCATAGTTAGCAGAGTAACTGCAACCACACAGTGTCATTGCAAAGAGGAAATGAAATATCCCTAGCTTAACCCTTCCCGAGTGCCTTGTGAGAAGACTCACAAGTGTGATAACTAAATAAATACATTAATGTTTCCTTTGTAGGCAGCTACCAGCACAGTAGATTGGGTATCAGTTATCGGGGAAATCTCTGGCCCTTAACATGGGGCTCATGATGTAACTCCCATCATCGCTGACCATTGGTCATGCTAGCTGAGGCCAACGGAAGTTTGTCCAACATCTGGATATCTTCCATTTCTTCTCTTCTTTGGTCAAAGATTGGGAAGCCAAACCACACTGCCATGAAGTTCAGATATAAAGTAAGTAGAAGGGAATCTGTGAGCCCTATGTTGAACTCCCCAAAGGACAGGCAGATTATAAACATAGGTAAAGGTAAAGGTTCCCCTTGACAATTTTTGTCCAGTTGTGTTCGATTCTAGGGGGCGGTGCTCATCCCCTTTTCCAAGCCATAGAGCCAGCGTTTTGTCCGAAGACAATCTTCCGTGGTCACATGGCCAGTGCGACTTAGACACGGAAGTTATAAACAGAGCACATATGTAAAATAAATACATTTAGAAGTTCATTACGCAACCAGTCACTAATTATCATCCTAATATAGTTACCCAGCGTTTTGTCCGAAGACAATCTTCCGTGGTCACATGGCCAGTGCGACTTAGACACGGAATGCTGTTACCTTCCCACCGAGGCGGTCCCTATTTATCTACTTGCATTTGCATGCTTTCGAACCGCTAGGTTGGCAGGAGCTGGGACAAGCAACGGGAGCTCACTCCGTCCCGTGGATTTGATCTTACGACTGCTTGGTCTTCTGACCCTGCAGCACAGGCTTCTGCGGTTTAGCCCACAGCACCACACATATGTAAAATAAATAAATTTAGAAGTTCATTACACAACCAGTCACTAATTATCATCCTAATATAGTTACAGTGCTGTGCCAAAGGTACAGTAGCGTATCTTCACAATGTATGCTGCCAAAAAGTTCTTAGAGGAAGGGCAAGATATAAGTGCGAGAAATAAATAACTCATTATTGCAGAATTTTAAAACATAGCAACCTAACAAATAGCATTTCAGCAAATATTCTCAAATACATTCCTTCCTATCTCTCTTACTTCCCAGTCAGACTTCTAGAAAAGTACCGGAAGTGTGACTTCTCCAAGCTCTGGTTTGCCAGTGCTTTCAAAGGGGCCACTGGCGTGAACCAGGGTTTGACCCTCATTGGACACCACCTTAAAAACCACCAGCAGTGGCTGAAAGTGGCTGAGAGCAGTCCTGCTGGGATCATCCAAGGAATTGCACTGACTGGCTGGCAAAGGTAACAAGGGGCTTGGCTGGAAGGCCAAGTTGGGGTGGGCAGGATCCAGCTAAGTAGGGTCGCTTAAGGTTAAACAGAGGTGTGTGGTGTGATGCTTGCAAAGCTTGGGGTGGTTTTGGGTCAGGAAACCACACTTCACCTCAAGCGGCCTTGTTTAGCAGGATCAAGATGTTCTTTCATTTTAAAAGGAAATTGTTTCCCTTTAAATGAAAAGATTTCTCGAGATAGTTAAGACTGTCCCTTTGGACAAGCTGCTTACTTGTCACCTTCCACTGAGCTCTCCTTCGGAGGAGGGCAGAACAGGGGAGAGATTTTGCATTTCTTTTTAATTGTTGCCAAGGTAATGTAAACCAACTTTAATGGTCTTGAGAAATGGGAAGCTTTCCCCTTAAATTTTCTTTCCCAATCACTTTGGGAGGTCAAGGGAGGGAAAACTTAGCATCTCTTTTTGATGGTTGCTATCGGACACAGCAAATCAGCAACAGTTTGACAGGACTTTAAAAAAAAAGCCCTTTCAAAGCATAGCTGATACATTACCAACCATTAAAAAGAAATGCTAGACTTTCCCTCTTGTCCCAAAGGAGAGCCCAGTGGAAGTTTCCAATTAAGTGACTTTTCCAGAGGAAGAGCCGGCCAATTATGTTAGTTTGATCCCAGCAATCTCACACACTGGAATCAAACCAAAGTGGAGTGGTCCTACCCACATTTTAAAAAAGTAGCCCCTGACAGAGAGCCAGAAAGGTCCAAGTAGAAATGCTCTGGAGCAGGATTGGTTCACTCGGGCATTTTTGTCATCTGGTCTTTGGCAAAAGGAGTGAACCAGCCCATCCTCAGAGTGGACCCAGGCAGCAGGACAAATGCCTATGTAGGCACTAAAGCTCATACTGCATTTTCATAAGATCTCAAGTACGAATACACTAGACATTTCTGGGCCTCTCCTCTTAAGAAGGATTCTGAAGCCAAGAGCTCCCAGGCTAAACTATGACAATACACACATTCCTACCCGCCCCCATTATTTCCAGACTCAAGAATTCCTTGCTAAGGTTGGCTCAGCCATTTCCCCTTCTATTGTCTTTCCACTGACAGACAAAAAGATTTTTATTCAGACAGACTCTTGGAAATTAGGCTTGCAGCTGAGGGGAAGTTTGGACTGGTTGGGTGCTGTATGTCATTAAATTGCCGTTGGATGCATTTTTAATTGTATTAATCGTGGTATTACAATAACTGTATCCAAATGTTTTTAGTTTTAGCCAAATATAAATTTAAAAATAAGTAAATAAATGTGTACGACAGTTTAAAGTGGTGAAATTTTAGAAACGGCATGGGAGGTCTGTCAGCTTGAGAAGGAGCATCTATCCTTACTGCTGGTTTCAGTCGCTTCTCCTTTCTTCTCTCCTGCTCCCTTGGCTCTGGCTTGTGCTACATATTCTTTGTGTTGGTATTGCTCATCCCATGTAAAAATCATCCTGTTTTCTGAATTTCCAGATGTCCTAGTCTTGGTTTTCCATTCCGTTCTCTCACTTCCCTTCCACCGGTCAAAAGAACAGCTCTACAAAGGGAGTCAACCAGTCACATTAGCCATATGTAGCCAAGCCTCATTTGTTCACGTTGGAACATAAATATTGTCTAGAGAAAACACATGAAAATATGTCATCTACATGTGGGCTCAAATGGCGTGTTACTAATACCCTGGCAGTCTCTTGTTATTGCTAATATTTGTCCTCCTTCAGTGCCTTTCTTATATTAATTATAATTATGATGTGACATCAAGTTATTACCTCTTACTTAATAGCCCTGCCTTTTCTTCTTTAGATATGATCACTTCTCTGTTCTGTGCGAGCTTTTGCCTGTGGGAATCCCGTCACTAGCTGTATGTCTGCAAACACTAAAGAACGGTATAATATGACTCTCTCTTCAGTCAAATCTAAACCTGGTGCACAGCATCCTAAACTCTGCAGGTTTATTAGCATCTGAATGTGCACATTCCTTTGAAATAGCTATTTAGCTTGAATTCAATTTTTCCTAACTTTTATTTTCCAGGAAATTTATTTTGATTGGTAGCCTATACCTACATTCCCTTACTTCACTCATTGTCTCACAAGCTATTACTTTAAGTTTATCAATGGGAAGCTGAGGTTGTGATGATTGTGCAGAGGAGCCAGTAGCTCCAAAGAAATGCATCACATCTGAGCCCATTACTTAGTTACTTAGGTGGTAAAGCTGAGGCTAGTTAAGCACCGGTTAATGCCATTATAGTGTTGTGGAAAGAGCATCCACCTAAGACTCAGGAGAAGTGGGTTCAAATTTCTGCTTAGCCAACGAAAGGTCACTGCAGGGGTGGCACTGGTAAAAACTTGTCTGTGAATATCTCAGGGTGCTATCGGACAACAAGAAAAGTGTGTGTCTGATTGCACCAAAAAAGGTCACTTTGCCAGGAGCAATTGCCTTTTAAGCAATCCTTCCATATATCCGGATGTGAGAAATGCTCACACACTTGTTACTTAATACAGTAACCAGTCAACCACACTTTCAAGCAGCTCTCCTTTATTAAAAAGCACTTTTGCAAAAGTGAGTGGGGGAAGAACATGTGGCTCTTGAGGTTTTGCTGGGCCACATTATCCCTTCTGGTTGGCCCTGCCAGCTAGAGCCAGAAAGACCTGAGGAGGTTTTAGGCTCAGTAGGAATCACTGCCTGGAGATCTACAAATCCAGAGAGTTAGGGTGATAATTTCATCCCTCTTATGTGTCTCTATAGATAGTTTGAGGGAAAATTGGGTCGCCATTCCTACTGTGTCAGAATTCAGATTTCTGGCAATTTCTGCCTCCCCTTGACATTGGCACCCTTAACAACCTGCTGTTCAAGTGACTTTTGCTTTCATACAGTGTTTTACACTTTAAAACAAAACCTCTTTTTCTGGTTCTTCAAGGTGGCTACTCAGAAAAGGTGAAAGAGGATGTAGAAAAATTCCTGGGAATCTCCAGTTTGGAAATAGACACCTTCATGAGGTAAAAGGTCCTTGTTTGGGTTTCTAATAGCCTTTCTGTAAACAGCTGCATGACTATAAGAAGCAACCTTTAGGACAGAGCCTGCATGTGGAAGTAGAATCTTTGATTTTAGATCCATCAAATGCTTTAGTTCAAAACCTATTCATCTGGAATAAATAAATATTAATGTTATTATCAAATTACTGTCACACCAAAGAGCCACCACTCCACATCATCTAAATATTTATGAATAGAAACAGGTGTCCCCTTTGATGATGGAAGAGGAGCAGAGCTTGTGAAGTTAGTCCTTGAAAGTAAGCTGTTTTCATTACTGTCATACAGGATTTAGCAGGTTGGATACCTCTTGTGATTCAGGTATCTGGTTGCAGAGCCAGAGGCTGGGAGTTTGATTCCCCACTGGGCCTCCTGCACATAGAGCCAGCCTGTGTAGCTTTGGGTAAGGGGCATGATCCCAGGTTGCCCCCCGAAGAAGGGAATGGTAAACCACCTCTGAGTATTCTCTACCTGGAAAACCCTGGAAAGGGTCACCATAAGTCAGAATTGACTTGACAGAACAGTAGTAGTAGTAGTAGTAGTAGTAGTAGTAGTAGTAGTAGTAGTAGTAGTAGTAGTAGTAGTAGTAGTAAATGTTTAGAGAGTAATTTGGCTTTATTACTCATTGCAGTGTTTTTAAGCACTTCATTACATTATATGGGGCATTATTCATTGCTGTTTAATTTTTCTTTGTTGCTTTTTAAAAAAAAATTACAGTAGCATTCAACTTTAATCACTCCTGTCTAAAAATAACTTCTAAAGATAACAAATGGTACTTACACCAATAAAGTGGCTTCATTTCTGTTTGTCGTGTTACTTTCTGAAATGTAATTCTTCTATGCCCTCTTCACACTTGTCTGTACAGGAAACTACATACAGTTAAGTTACTGCAGTTTTGTACATCTTAATTCTGAGAAGTATTAGGACTACATAGTAATAGGGGGGAAATATGCAATTCCCTTTGCTTTGATGATGCATAAAGGTGTGGGAGAGGAACATGCAGTCAGGATTATGGGGAAAATTAATTCTTTCCTGGCATTTTACATATTGGCTAAAATCCTATTGCACACGTGCAATATCTTATTGCACATATGCATACTAGTGGTGATGGGGGCAGCAGCAAATCACTGCTGACTAAAGGCTTCCTTTGCTAATTTTGACTCCACATGAATTTATTGCATTGAGTACATGTTACATGCATCCTGGAACTGTATTTAACTAGTGGCTGTTTGTCACTGATCATGACATCATTTACCATTGCACACAAATTCTGCACAACAGAGTAACAATAATTTTTGAATTCAAGACTCTTTTATCCAATGTTTTTTAAAAAAAACTAAGCATCTTCTAATACTGTACATGGTTAAAAAAAATTTTAAAAAAAGATAAGACGGGAAAACAATGCCATGACACCAGCTCATTTCCTTTGAATAATCACAAGGTTTTCCTTCTTCAACAGTGATGTTTCTGCGACTTTCCCAGGAAGTGAAATTCTCTCGCTTGTGACCCAAATTACATTTTTTCTCAAACCTTCAGTGAATGAACTTCTGGAAAACAACAGGTGAAGAACAATGACCTAAATAAATAAATAAATAAATAAATAAATAGATAGATAGATAGATAGATAGATAGATAGATAGATAGATAGATAGATAGATAGATAGATAGATAGATAGATAGATAGATAGATAGGTACAGCATATCAGCATGGTTGGGTCTGTTGGCATGCCCGTATGATAGTCATGCTTTTATTGTCTGTTTCTTTACTCAGCTACCTTTTGATGGTGTAGAACCACTGAAACTGCAGTCTTATGCACAGTTACCTAGAAATAAGCCCCAGTGAACTTGGTGAAGCTTGCTTCAGAGTAAACATGAAATGAATTGTACTCTAAGCCACCTTTTGGGAAGAAAGGCTGCATAGAAATATTTTAAATAAATTTATTTGCCAACCAATAAACATATAGTACATGTGGGAATTCCCTCATCTTTTTAACCCATCTTGACTGCAGATGTGGATAGTATGAGTTATTTAGTAAGTGTTTACTTCACCCTGAGTACATGTCTTGTAAATGTGGAATCTCATAATTGGGCTTATGTGGCGTCTCTGGCACTTTTTAAGTTGCATTCACACTCGCATATGTTTTTAGGTATGTCACAGGCTGGTTCAGCCCTTACCACAGAAAGAGAAAGAAGATCCATCCTATCATGATTCATCACTTTCAGCCAGATGCATTAAGGTAACTCAAGACCTCTTACACAGGCTGTCTTCTTCTTTACGTGTCTGTGGCTTTGGAGTTGGGTGCCCTCAATTTGCTGATGACACCCAGCTATTATATAGTACTTAGTCACTGTCTGAATGCTGTGGTCAAGTGGCTGAAGGTCAACAAACTGAAAGTGATTCCAGCATAGAGTTGATGCTGGTTATTAGCAGATGACAAATCCAGCTATCCCTTTTCTAATGATTGCTGAGGAAAGAAATTCCCCTTGTGAACCGAGTGAAGAGTGTGAAACTTTTATTAGACCTGATGCTGCTCCTGGAGAAATAGGTGGGGACCATGGCCAGGTCATGACCAGCCTTTTGTCATCTGTCCCTGGTCTAGAATGTTCCTCCTTGAAGAAGGCCGATGGGCCCACACTAATCCATGCAACTGGAACTTAGAGAGTAGACTACTGTAATTCAGTTTATGTGAGGCTATCCTTGAAAACCACTCCAAAACTATAGCTGGTACATCATGTGGCAGATCCAGCCATTCTCAACCTTTTTTGGCCATAGCCATTTTAGGAGCTCCTTTCATGTTCCAGGGGCCTCATCAAACAAGGATATAACACAGGTGAATGGAAGATCTCCTTCTCACATATTTCAGTCTGTGGCCCCCTTCAAATGTGCCAGCCCCCCCAGGGGACCATATAGCCCTTGTTGAGAATGGTTGAGGTAGGCTATTAGTGGATACTTCCTGTTATGATCCTATAACATCTATTTTACAGTGGACCCTCTACTTATGGAATTAATCCATACTGGAATGGTGGCTGCAGGTTGAAAAGTCTGTAGGTCAAGTCTCCATTGACCTACAATGCATTGAAAACCGATTAATTCCGTAACCGGCTGTTTTTGTTCCATTTTGGTTTTTTTCTGGTCTATAGGTCAATTCTCCGGCTGCAAGTCGAACCTAAATTTTGCGGCCAGAGAAGTCTGTAACTCAAAAAGCCTGTATGTCGAGCTGTCTGTAAGTCGATGGTCCACTGTACAGCAGCTACATTGGTTGGCAGTCAATTCCCAGATTCAATTGAAGATGTTGGTTACTGTATTTAAAGGCCTTACTTACCTCTACTCACATGAGCCCCCATGCGAGCTAAGGTCAACTGGAACTGTCCTTCTAAAGGTGCTGACTGCCAAAGGGGTCCATCTTGAGTATATTTGAAAAAGATCTTTCCATGTTGCTTCCCCCGTGCTCTGAAATCGACATTCCAAGTCCCTGCCAAGTATGACATCTGCAGGAATTCAGGAGGGGATGTAAGGACGAGTTGTTTTGGTGGGCCTTCAGAGGCTAGGAACGGCTATTCTATCACTTATTTTATGTGGAGTATTTTATTCTTATATTGTTTTCATGTTGTGAGCTGTTCTGGGTCTCTCTGGGAAAAAACAGCATATAAATGAAAACAATAAAATAATAAATTAAAAATGAATGGCAGTGTGGGGAAGAAAGAGGCAAAGTTAAGTTAAGCCTCCTAGAGTGGTCGAAATGACTAGATAGGCGGGGTATAAATACAATAATTAATTAAATAAATACAAATAAATAAGTGCTCCCCTCCCTCTAAGCATGTTCTTGTCCCTTGGTTGAACAACACCCAAATAGGGCTTATAACTTCAAGCACCTATTCGGGGGGTTCATTTGTTTTGTACCAAAGTATAGAATTCTGTCACTGCTTTCTGCTTAGGCTTCTGACAAAGTGGACTACTGTGACCCAAGAACTACAAGCAGCCATGGGCAAGGTCTTTTATGCTTCTGCTGCAGAAGAATGGATGGAGGAGAACGTCCAACCCAGCCTGCAAAGACTTCAAGAAACAGTAGATGATTTGGACAGAGCAATACAAGCATTATCATAGCACTCTTAGAGATGCAGCGTATGGATCCAGCATGGCACAATTAGCAAGCAGTCAGGCCAGCGTAGTTCAGATACAGGACAAGTTCTTCTGATGTCAAAGAGATGAGTCTCTTCTACTAAAAAGCTTAAAATTAGGTTGAAATGTTGGCTATCTTGAAGGCTATGGCTCTTTGTCCAAAAACATGCCAGAAATCACATTGTGTATGTGCAGTTGTACAGAGTCCGCTGTACAGAAGTAAAAACAGACATCAAGCATTCTGAAAGTTGTTCTTAGGGCTTGTCAAATTAGAAGCTTGGGCACAGGCACTTTAAATAAATCTAAAAAGTTGCACCATCCAGTGACTACTGTGCTTTGAATGTCTTCAGTGGGTTGTAGAAAGAGTACAGATGGGTCCCTCCCCTCCCCCACCCCCCTCCTTTCTCAGAACAATAGAACCTGGAATCATCTAGTAAATCTGGAGGGTGGGGGAGACTCAGAAGAGGCAAAGGGGAGCATTGCTTCACACATCATATGGAGCTCACTGCCACAAAATGTGGTGACAGCCACCAGCTTAATGGTTTTAAAAGAAGACTGGGCGTGGGGGGGGAGGGAAATCCTAGGTTTCCAAAAACTCACACCAACTGATAACATCATTGGCCTTATGCAGTCTAAGTTCCACTGCTGAACTTCAACCAGTTTGATTTTGAATCTATTACACCAAAAACTGGAATTCATCAAAAGCTTTATAACACCCAGTGAGAGAACACAGAAGTTTGTTAACAAATGGGAGAATGCAATTCATAAGTACAAGTCCATCTTTAATATTTCTTGTTACACACAAGGACCAAAAGGGTTCATATCAAACAGGAGCTAATTTCTGCCCCACTATTTGGTCATCTAAAAGAGTAATGATCTGCTAGACACTAATGTAGGAAGGTAGGAACTCTTACCGGAATTTTAACAGAGCAGCCATTAGCTCCCATTTCTGCCTTAACAGGAAGAAATTGGACAAGAGCAGCCTTTTGCTTCTAGTCCAATTCAGAATGTATACATGTTTCAAAAGGAAATGTTTTCTTATTTCCCACCCTATAATAAATTTTAATTAACTAATAAATGCATCAAAGTTGTTAGCCACATTCACGGGTAATGGGTCATTCGCAGTGTGCTTTGCTAGCTAGAATATTAAAAAAACAGGTCAGCAAGGCTATGTACAGAATGTGTGCACAAGCACGCACGCACGCCTACCAAGAAATAAGCCCCAATGAGTTCAGGAGGGCTTGTTCTTACCTAAGTAAATGCATGTGGACTCACAGGCTTAGTGGTTGAAAGGAAGTGTATCACAATAGGGCTGGAGCTTCCAGGAAAAACCAAGAACTCCTTTGTCCCACAATATAGCAGCCCACCCATCCCCAATGGACCATTACGGAGGCAGCCTCCGTTGGAACTCATCCTCCCAAGGGAGTCCTTGTGACTTGTGGTGGGCACAAAGAAGTAATG